GTGAGCACGAGGTGGGACAAAACTATGGTTAACCAATGAGATTACAAGCATGATTGCAGAGGTAAGATTGATTAAATCCAGTACCAAATGAAGAAACCAGTCAAGTAGCAATCGGGCATGAATCCAGGACAGGGTCTCTTCCTGTTAGGGGTTGGGTTAGTGACTCATTTGGGCTCTTTTAAGGTGATTGATACCTATTTAGACTATCAATCCCTGATGCCCATCCCTAGGGAAGTATGAAGCTGCGTTTCCTCTTTTGTCTTATATGGGAGTGTCTGTCTCTTCCAAGTGGCAAAGTCACCTTGTCTTCCATCTTGTCTCCTTGAGGGTCTGGCCCTGTCTGACTGCCTATAATATTTCTATCTAACTCAGCTGCCTACAACAATACTATCCTGTCTTGATATAGCGGAATGTGATGTAACTTTTCCTCAAGGCTTCAAACACCCTCATAGGGTAAGTTTTTACTTTATGCACACTCAGCATTACTGTTGACTTGACCAATTTCTTTATCTCTGTAAAGCTTATCTTTGCACCTTCTTAGGAACTTCACCTCTTGGGCTCACAAGGAGAAAGATTTCCTTTTTCTCAGGAGCATTACAATTGGCCTGTGAGCCAGTGACAGATGGCTTCTTAGCTAGAATGCAGAATCCTTTGCAGTGATTGAAATGGCAGCCCCTGGCCAAGTTCGAGGCTCTGTCAAGAGGACTTGAAGGCAAGCCCTCGCAGTCTTCACACCCATGAGCATGAAGTGGGTCCCCCGCACTGTGCCTCACTGGATGATCGACTTTATTATGCATTATTAGCATTTTGGTATAGTTGGAAGGACAATGCAGTTTGAACTCCTCAGCTTTCAAGATAGCATAAAATTACTACAGAATTTTTATTGTTTTCATGTAGATGCATTTATCATATTATTGTAGGCAGCTGAATTAGATAGAAAATATTATAGGCAGTCAGACAGGGCCAGGCCCTCAAGGAGACAAGATGGAAGACAAGGTGACTTTGCCACTTGGAAGAGACAGACACTCCCATATAAGACAAAAGAGGAAACACAGCTACATACTTCCCTAGGGATGGGCATCAGGGATCCATAGTCTAAATAGGTATCAATCACCTTGAAAGAGCCCAGATGAAGGGCCAGGGAGATGGCTCAGTGGAATAAGCACTTCCCTGGTAAGCACACGGGCCTAGGTCCAATACCTGGTTCCACCAAAAAAAAAAAAAAAAAGCCCAGATAAGTCACTAGCCCAACCTCCAACTGGAAGCCACCCTGTCCCTTATTCATGCCCACTTGCTATGTGATTTGCTTCCCCATTTGGTACTGGACTTAATCAATTTTACCTGAGCAATCGTGCTTGTAATCTCATTGGTTAACCATAGTTTTGTCCCCCCTCATGCCCACATAAGCAAGTTCCAATGTTCTCCACCATCTTAGACTCACCTCACCACATGATTATCCTGTATAAAAGTCCTTGGAAAAGGGGCCGGGGAGATGGCTCAGGAGCATAGTTGCTTCCCTGGCAAGGATCTGAGTTCAATCCCCGGTTCTGAAAAAAAAAAAAAAAAGTCCCTGGAAGAGACAGCTTTCAGGGGACCACCTGCTGGTAGGGGGCCCTTCTGTCCTTCTGGTGGACAAGAGCTTTCTTTCCCCCCATTAAATCTGTTTTGCTCATAACTTCCATTTATTTCTAAAATTTATTCTTCAGTTTTAGAGAACACAAACTATTCCAGTACTTTTTCGGTTGGGAGATCATTTTTCCCCTGTATCATTTGGAGGTCATCTACTGACATCATTTTTTGCTCCCTATGTCATTATAACTCTTTTTATAATTATACAATTACACAAACACAGTTATGCAAATTAACTATATTTTTTAAATAAAGCTAAACGTGCTATCATGTACATACATTCAGCGACACAAGTTTCTGTGTTAGCTTCGTACAGCTGACTGATTTCAGGGGTCAGGTGGGAAGCTAATCTCTTCTAGGAATCATCAGGAAGCAGGATGCCATTAATTCTATGATTCTGAGTGACTTACATTTAATCCCACTGCTGCTTCCTCATTAATTGAAGGCATGTAAAAATACTACTGGCAAGTGGAAAGTGCTGATTGAAAATGTCCAAATCACGGAGCAAGTTGATGGATGACTATGTGGAATCCTTTCCACTTGCAGGTCTGGGCTCCCCCAGAAGCCACCTTCTCTTAGTCATCTCCATTTCTGCCCACACGTCAGTTTCTAGTACTAAGGGCGCTCAGTAACTTTGAAAGATGGGTGGCAAGAAGGAAGGTGAGGACACCGGAGCAGTGGAGAAAATCACAGCTACCCAAATAATTAATCCAGGACCATCACTCACGGCCATGATTTCTTCTTCTCATTTGGCTTTGAGATTCCCAAGTAATTGGCTTTTGAGACAAATTTTAAATTGCTTCATTTCCAACATTCATTTTGGTCACAACATCCAAGAGCAATCAATCCATCTGCTAATCAATAAATAACATGCTGCCATAAGAAAGGCAAACCAGCACAAAACCAATACTGTCAGCAACCCAGAACAACTCTAATTTCCGGATAGAATCAATGCACGGCAAAATCGTGATTATTGTAAATATTTATAGTTCTAAAAGCAGCAGCTCTTCAATGCAGCGTTTTGACAGCTCATTTCCAAATTAAAGGTTCAGGGGTACAGCCCCTTCCCGCATCCATCCTGTGCGGTAAGGACAGGTTACAGTAACCTTATGACTGCTGGAATCGGCTCTCAAAGGTGTGGTTGGTACTCAGAATGTTTTGGAAAATGATGTGATAAAAGAGGGAAACACGGAGAACAGAGCTGAGTTCCACTCTTTGGTGTCCTGCTCTATGGTACTGATACAGGGAGAAAAACTGGTCTCGGGTGTGTGACCTCCAAACAATATAGGGAACCTCCAATGACATAGGGAATAACTATCTCTGGACCTGACCTGCACCAGTTCGTGTTCTCTAAAAGTGAAGAATGAATTTTAGGAACAAACAGAGGTTATGAGCAGAATATATTTGAGAGAAAGAAAGCTCCTGTCTGAGAGAGGGACAAGAGGGGAGCCCGAGTGGGTAGTTTCCCCCTGGGAAGTTGTCTCTTCCAGGGACTTTTATAGAGGAAAACCATGTGGTGAGGTGGGTCTAAGGTGGTGAAGACATGGGAACTCCCTTAGTTGGGCATGAGGAGGGACATGGGAACTCCCTTAGTTGGGCAAAAGTATGGTCAACCAATGAAATTACAAGCACGATTGCTCAGGTAAAATTGATTAAATCCAGTATCAAATGGGAAAGCGAGTCATGCAGCAAGTGGGCATGAATATAGGACAGGGTCTCTTCCTGTTGGGGGTTGGGCTAGAGACTCATTTGGGCTTTTTCAAGTTGATTGATACTATTTAGGATATCAATCCCTAATGCCCATCCCTAGGGAAGTATGTAGCTGTGTTTCCTCTTTTTGTCTTTGTCTTCAGGGGTGGCCCATAAGGGAGTGTCTGTCTCTTCCAAGTTGCAAAGTCACCTTGTCTTCCATCTTGTCTACTTGAAGGCCTGACCCTGTCTGCCTGCCTATAATATTTCTAACTCGGCTGCCTACCACAGTATCAGCCACACAACCTCTCTGAATATTGATTTTCTCGACTGTCCAATTTAACCTTCCAGGTTGCCAAGAGGAAAGAAAAGGTAAGAGATACGTTTCAATATGGGCTTAATAATCTGATAAATCTAAGGTTTTGTAATGATTCCTGTTGTTTCCTAAGAACAGGATTAAGGATCCCGAGAAATTAGATGAGTCTTCCTAAAGCTCATTGGCCAGGGGCATTTTAAGACTAAAATATAAATGACAATGGGAACTAACGTACACACTCAATATTACTAAGCAATAGACATTGGGAAAATAAAGATAAAGATCTGAAAGGACTCTGAGGTCCAGTAGGCACGAAGGCTATGCAAACAGGTAAGTGCACTTGAGGCTAGGGGAGGAAGCAAGGGCAAGATGACCTTGAGCTGCTGGGCAGGGGCCCCAGCCTCAGGGCACTTGCAAATTTCAAAGGGAGCAGCAACTGGGGGTGGTTATTCCAGGAAAAGCCTGAGGACGGGGAAGGCTAACATTTCTGGGGAACCAGGAAAACAAATCAGTTTCAACCTTCAACCACTTGAAGCCAGCTTTCATATGATTATTTCTGCCTTGTCTCCATGTTATGTACACCATTTTAAGTGCACTAACTTTTTTTTTTTTTTGGTGGAACCGGGGATTGAACTCAGGTCCTTGCACTTGCCAGGGAAGCGCTTATTCCACTGAGCCATCTCCCCGGCCGTGCACTAACTTTTAAAGACGCAAGTGAGCTGTTTTAAAAACACGACTTTCTGTTGTCATCACAAATAACAAAGTTATCATACATAAAAGTTTATTCTTTTGAACTATCACGCTTGGTTCTCGCTTCTGGGGTAAAAGGGGTGACCAAGACATACAGCGGTAAGTGATTAGGATAAATTAACGTAAGACAGGAATGGATGACATAGCAGGGTTACTCGTAGGGACGGACCCCTGGAGGTGCTACAGAGCCCGGGACGAAGTGAGGTCTTGGCATTTCAGCCGCGCGCGGCTGTCCGCGAAAGCGGGGCGCTCACGCCAACTGAGGCTTTCCGCAAGAGGAAAGGTAAGGGTCGCTCGGTCAAGTGCAACTCCAGGCTGTGCGGCCGGTCCGCATCAACTGAATGCGGGGGTGGGGCACCGGCAGAAAGCGTCCCGCGCTGCGCGGCAACACGGCCACCTGTCAGCGGGGAGCGCGCCGGCACCAGCCGGTGACACATCGGAGCGCGCGGAGCACGGGCGGTCACTCGCGGCCGCGCGTTAGCAAAGCGGGACTCGGAGCCCGCAGGCCCTCCTCGCCACGTTCAGCGGCCCGAGGCGGGTCGCAGCCGCCAGGCAGAACCCCGAAGACTCCCCGCCCGCCCGCCCGCCCGCTCGCCCGCAGAACCGCTCCCGGAGCCGAGCTCCCAGCGCCCGATCCGGGCGTGGCGCAAAACGCGGAACCGGGCAGGACACGACGGAGCCGCGGGGCGCGAGCATGCGCAGTGGCGGCTTTGGCGCAGGGAGGGCCCCGCGGCGTACGTCGACACGCAGACGTCGGAGCCCCGCGGGGAGGAGGGCGAAGACTCCATCCGCCATGTTGGATGCCGCAGATTCGCCATAACCTCCCCGGCTCTTTTCTTAAAAAAATAAAAATAAAAAGCGAAGCGTTGAGGGGCCGCCCTGCCTGCTCGGTCGGCACGGGAGAGGGCCCGGAAGAGCCCGAGGCTTTTTTTTCCTCCGCGGTGTGGGCGTTGCCATGGAGACGCGGGCGGCAGGTGAGCGGGGCTGGGGGTTGGGGAGAGGACAGGGTGGGGGAGGGGCGCGGCGCGCGGGAAGCCGTTCGGGGCGTGGAGTCGGGGTGCGGCGTGCAGGGCGCGGGCGGCGGAGGGATCCACGGCCGGGCGGAGCGCGCGGACGGGGCGGCGCGCGACTGCGCTCACTATATCCTACCGCCATGAAAACAAGAAAAAAAAAAAAAAAGAAAAAACTGTTGGGACCGCGGGCGGGAGGGGCGCTGTGCGCGCCTGCGCCCGGCCGTTTCCAGGGCAACGGGCAGCGTCCTGGCGCGCTTCCGAGACAGCTGAGGCGCTCGCGCTTCCCCGTGGGCGGGAGGTTCGAATCTAGGCGCTGCTCGAGCTCGTTGGCAGGGTGTGCTTGGGCTGGCCGCTACTACACCTTTACACTTGGAAAAGGCATTTTAGGGGCGAGATGGTGAAGAAAGTTTCCTTGTGCTTTCCTGAGGGAATCTCCAGTGGGCGGGATTAGCGCAGCTTCGGGTAACCCTGTGACAGGCTTAGCCCAGTTGTAATTTGTCCTCTGGGCGTTGTTCCTCCGACTTGGAGGTCACACTCAAGTGCTGCCTCTTCCAGGCAGCCTTCTCGCCGTCCAGGCTGGAAGCTGCGTCTCCGGGCGATGGACCGACCGAGCGGCCCGCCTCCCTTAACACCGGGAGCCCGGAATTAAGGCGTTTCGTCGCCCAGCTTTCCTGGCGGCTCCTAATTGTGGGTGACTTAGGAGTCTCGGTGCAGAGAGATCACGTTCGTAATAGTCACAACAGCAGCGCTGAGGCTTTAATCCTTTTATGCCTAGCGTTCCATTTTTGGAATTTCATGTAACAATGGAACATAGTAAACATTTTTTCCTCTTCAAATTCTTGTTGCTTGACTCCTTCTAGGTAACATGAATTTCATGCAAATTAAAAAAATGCAATCTGGCATAAACGAATTAAAAGTAATCCGTCCCCTAAAACAGTGCATGGGTCCATCGTGGGGATTCAGTGTGTTTCGTCTAAGGAAAGAATGGCCTATGGTCATTTATTGAACACAGAAATCATGTCGCCAAGGATTATGCTCTGCAGCTGCCCCTCTCCAGCTTCTTAGAGCTCCGCATCTGCCTGTAGCAGTGTTGATGGCTCCCGTGCTACAAGGGGAGACAGTGCCACTACTGAGCCCTGAGACCCCTTTCCTGGCCCTTCTGGTTCGTGCTGCAGGCAGGCAGAGCCCCTCTAGGGGCCAGCAGGAGTAGAGAGGAGGGGGAGTCTTCCTCCCGCCCTACCCCCAGTGTCCAGGTGCACCAGTGTGCCCGCTTGGGTAGTGGAGGGAGTGAGGGGCCCCGAGCCAGAGGGGTGGGTCAGGAGGCCTGAGTACGCAGGGCATGCTTTCTTAACAGTAATGACTGTTCGGTGGGGCATGGTGGCACGTGCCTGTAATCATAGCTTTCTGGCAGGCTGAAACAGGAGGATTGCAAGTTTGAGTCCACCCTGGCCAACGTAGTGACTGTCTCAAAAAATAAAAAGGCTGGAGTACAGCTCAGTGCAAAGTCTGTGAGTTCAATGTCCAATATTGGGGGAAAAAAGACTTCTCAGTGCAGTGCCTTTATTCTAATACTTAGAATGACCTGCCCCCTGTCCTCTTCTGCAATTTATCTTAGCAATCTTTAAAAAGAAGCCTGTGTGTATACTTCAGTTTCTTGCTGCACCAAATGGGAAAAGATCATTTTGAAAATGTATTCTTGTCAAATCCTGGCCAGCTAACTTCTGTAGTCTGTCCTTTTCTGATCGCCAGGTTGGCTTGGGAGAAGCAGTACAGTGGATGTAAGGTAAAGTGGGGCCAGTGAGGTACAGCTGTTGGGTGGTGCTCTAGCTGTGGTGGTCATTTCTGTCACAGAGCTGGTACTGCTTGGACCCTTCTTTTCAGAGGCTTGTCATTTGCTTACTTCTTTTTTCCCCTAAACCTTATAATTTACATAATGACTTTTCCAAGATAGCTATCCTTAAGTAGAATTAAGTTGCTGCCTGGAGCAAGGGTAGTCAGAATTAGATATATTAAAAAAGACTCTCCCTAATTGCATTTCCTTTTATAGTTTCATGCAGGCTGCCTCTGAAAACCTCTGTACCAAGATGGGTGGATTTAATTATGCACAAGGATTTTGCCTGGAGTTAAAGTTTTCCTTTTTTCAGCTGTTTACCCTGTTAAGCGTTCACTGTCTGGAATCCCCCAGGGCAGGCAACAGCCTGATGCATGCGACCTACAGCTCAGAGTGCAGAGATCTGCTCGGCACCTGGTTCCTCACCCTGGTGTGGCCGGTGGCCCCTGGAATCCCTTCCTTGCATCTGTGAGTGGAAACCTGGGCAGCTCCTCTGCCTTGGAGGCTGGTTTCCTCTGAAGGATGCTTTTGTCCCTTTCTTACGGGACCTAGTCTCCAGTATGCAGCTCAGTGCCTGTTATCCACTTGCTTTTTACAGATGGAAAGGTGGGGTAGAATTGGATTATCAGGCCTGGCGAGATACCTCAGGACTGAACGCCTACACAGAGACCAGGGACTGGGTTTGATCCTCAGCACCACGTGCTGCCCAGGCACTGCCCACAGGTGTGCTGAGCCTGCCACAGCCGGGTGTGCTGGCGCACGTGTGTAATCCTAGCACTGGGGAGGCTGACGACAGGAGGATCACTACAAGTCTGAGCTGCATAATGAGACCCTAATCAAGTACCTTAAAAAAAAAAATTTGATTATCTTTTAAGAGGAAAAATAATTTAGGATTGAAACAAAATAGATGTTTTATACAAGTATTACAAATTGAAATCACTTTTAAAGGAACAGAAGTTATATAGATCAGTGACTTTGATTATAAAATGATAGTACTTAGCATGTTAATATAAAAACAGGAACTTTAAAGTGGGTAACAGAATTTTCTTTTAAATTTTAAAAAATTATAAATTGACAAATTATAGCTGTATATTTTAGAGCACACAAAGTGTTATGATTTATGAATATGATATGTAATATAGTAATTTTAGCATCACTTCAAATATATCTTTTTATGATTGATAAGAACATCTGAAATGTACTTTTAGTAATTTTAAAATGTACATTATTCTTTATTCACTGTAGTATGGAGGAATGGGGGATTGAACTCAGGCGATTGCACTTGCCAGGGAAGGGCTTATTCCACTGAGCCATCTCACCAGCCCCATGTGCAGTATATTTTAATGCAAATAAAAACATATTCTCGTGCTTAAGCGAGGCTTTGTACCTTCGACCTTTGTCCTGCAGCCCAAGCCCAGCCTCTGGTGGCCTCTGCTCTGCCCTCTGCCTCCTGGGGTCCCCCTCCTTTAGGTCCCACGTGGCCCATCTGGCAGCGGCCTCTGCTTGCTGTTTCACCTGGCAGTGTTTCCCATCTCCGTCCACGACACGTTTTTCTTCCTGAAGACTGAAGAGTACACCGGTGTGTGGGGACCACGTTTTCTTCTCCCACTCATCTGGTGGTGCATACGGATCAATTTCAAACGTGGTGGTTGTGACTGGTGTTGCAGTCACCATCGGAGAGAGATGCGTTTTTTTAAAAATACTGGTTTGAAATTTTCGGGGTTCCTTTAAATCCTGTAGCAGGTAGAGCGGCCAAGGTTCAACTCCCCTGTGTGCTGCCTTGGTGTTCCTACGTAAAGCCACAAAGATTTTCTTCTAGGTTTATTGGTGTCTCAGTTAGTCTTCTGGTCAAACATCTCCTCCCCGCCCGAGTTGGCCTCAGTTGCAGATGCCACCCCCCCTTCCGCACTACAGGGTCCAGGAGGCTGGGGCACCCACTCTTCCAGCTCGACACCTTCTAAGGCCCTGGGGGGAGGGCCTGGGGGAGGGGGAGCAGCTCCAGGAGGAGCTCTGGCCCTGCCCCATTAGCTAAGCCCTGGCCATCTGGCCCCGCCCCTCAAGCCCCGCCCCGGCCTTCTGGCCATGCTCCTTGAGCCACACGCTGCTGCTCTACCTGCCCGACTTAGCGTGATGCTTTGGGAGGACAACTAGAAACAAACCATAACAACTAGTTCACCTAATTTTAGATCTTACTTGCTTTTAGATTTAGCTATGTCACCAGCCATCTCAAAGTACTTTGTGCATAGCGTAAAGTTCTGGTCCTGCCTTTTAATGGCTCTGAGACCTTGGCCATTGCCATGTGTAGAAATGATCCCTGCTGACCACGAGGCACTACGGTGTGAAGGTTCTGTAGGCACGATGGGGCACACTCCTAGCACCAGCAGACTATCCTCCTTTTTGTCTTCCATTTTTTCTGTCTCTTTCTTTCTCCCTTATTTTCATCTTCCCTTGAGCGTCTTGCAGTTTTTAACAGCATCTTTGAAAATTCAATGTGTAATGAGAGCAGTTCCTAATTATAAATGATAATGTGTGATACAACGGCCCAGTCGTGTATTGAAATCATGTGGCTGTGGGTAAATAAGATGGGGCCTGGCAGTAACTGTCGTTCCTGTAGCCTGCTCAGTCGGGTGTTTGGCATCCATTACTCTGATGGTTTATGAATAGATGCGCCCTGAAAGCCTCAGGCAGTCCTCGGCGAGGCTTTTCAGAGGTGACTGGATCTGGAGTGTGTGACGCTGGGATTGATTCATGGTGCAATGCCGGGATCAGGGGCATTAGGATGAGGGGTGCGAGTGCTGTCCTCCCTAAGTAGCCCGGATAAGGTAAAGGGGGCAGAAAAGACACTGTTAAGGTCCTTTGTTGCTTTTCTTGTCTTCTGTATGCAATGAATTGCTTCTCCTCTATGACATCCTTCTGCCATGTGCCACCTTACCTTGGAGCCAGCCAGTTATGGACTGAAACCTCTATGAACTGTAATCCAAATAAGCTTTTCCTCCTTTAACTTTGGGTATTGGGCTTTTGGCTTATCAGCAAGAAAAGTAACTAAGAAAATTGCTCTTCACAAAAGCTCTGCAAAGTGGGCTTTTGCATTTGTTTTTCAGTTGAGGTAGCAAAAGCTTGGGATTGCTTT